GATCAGGGAAAGAGAGAGAGAGAGAGAGGGAGGGAGAGAGANGGCAGTTTTGGACCGTTCAGTTGAACGTACGTATCTTAAAAATAGAAACACAAAGGATAACTGCGTTATGGGTGAACATGTATGATAACGGCCCAGTAACATGACTGTTTAGTGCAAGTGAATCTTTGTTTATGTTACTGAGTGATCGTGTGCGTGTGCGATTACGATGTGGAGCGTTGTATGTCTGTTGCTTTTTAGTGATCAGTGCTCTGAAAAACTATGAAGTATCAATACAAAAGCAAAGACGAAAGTTACTAGATATCCCACTTTACATTCATACAAGCACTGGACATTGAAGAAGGAGGAGAGAGGAGGAGACAGAAAATAAGAAAAACGCTGCGAAAAAGGATATTGACAACGACAGTGATAAGAGGAGACGAAACAGAAAAGAAAAAAACACTAAAAGATTAAAGTAAAATGAATGGAATATGAAGACCGAAAAGAGAGAGAGAAAATCAGTAGAAAGAAAAAATATCTGAAAAAAGGAGAAAGAAAAACTAACATAAATCGAGAAAAAGAAGAAAAAGAAGACCAGAAAGACAACAAAAAAGACGCCGGCAATTTATAGCATAAGATAACGAAAGAGAAGAAGAAGAGAGAGAGAGAGAATAAGTCAAACTAACCCACACGTGACCTAATCTACTCGCCAAGATTCTCGACGCACAAAGGCTCCGTGCGTGCGAATACAGTTGTGTTGATCCGTACTCGTGCAGGTGGTGGTGCCTCGCCTTGTCTGCATCTCGACGCTTGGCTCCTTTTCAATATTGGGGTTTCAGTGTATTAATGTTGGTAGTTGTTGTTTGGTGGTGTGTCGTGGTTGCTGGTGTGTTTTGTGCAGTGTTTTTGTTGGTGACTTTTTTGTGGCTGCGTGTGTGTGTATATCTTTTGTTTGGTGATTTTCGTTGTTGGAAGTTGGTGGTGTTTTTGTTGGTGGTCGTTGTCTTCGGTGGTTGATTGTTTCTATACTGTTGAAGATTGTTGCTTATGTTGATTGGCATTGGGCGATGGTGTTTTTCTTGCGGGTGATTTAAATGGTGTTGGTGGTCGGTGTTTTTGTTGTTAATGTGTTGTTTTTGTCTACGCGGTGTGTCTTGCTGTTTTATTTATTCATTTATCTGTTTTTGGTCGTGTTGATGGAAGCGGAGGTTTTTTGTTTCTGATGGTGTTTTTATTTGGTTGTGGCTCTGGTGTGATGTGTTTTTTGTTTGTTGCTGTTTTTGTTGTCGTCGGTTCGTGTTGGTGTTAATTTTTGTTGTGTATCTGACTACCTTTATCATTGTTTATTAACCTGTATTGTCGTTAATATATCTTATCCGTTAAGTTATTATTATAAGCGAAAAAAAAACGATTATTTGGACACGATACACAAAAAGAAAAAAATATGCCGTATAACGAATAATGCCTTTTGGCAGTATCGTTTATTTATTATTTTGTTGTTATTGTAATTATCATTATTTTATCTTTACACTGTTTTATTTATCCACCTCTCTGTGGTCTCTCTCTCTCTCTCTAATCTATCTATCTATTTATCTGTATTTGGTGTGTGCTGTGATGTCTTGTGCATTCTCCTCTCTCTCTCTCCTCTCCCTCTCTCTCTCTCTCTCTCTTCTCTCTCTCTCGTCCTCTCTCTCTCTCTCTCTCTCTCTCTCTCTCTCTCCCTCCCTCCTCCCTCTCCTCCCTTCTCTCTCTCTTTCACCACAACACCACCACACACACACACACACTACACACACACTTTCGTACAGAGATATATTCATACATGTACGTCAGAACTCTAAAAAATCCAAAAAAAAGAAAATGTCAACTTAATAACATTAATTGAATTTGATTTTTGTCTAACTTATCCATGTCAATTATGGAAGGCTCATTTATTCTGATTAACTCATGTTATTGTATATTTATATTAATTCATATGTCATTTTTTGTTGCCTATTACACAATTCCATTATTGATTAATTTCTTTTACCTTATTCTTTTTCAGTTTCCTTTTTCCATTCTTTCTTTCTCTTCTCGTCTCTCTCTCTCGTCCTCTCTCTTCTCTCTCTCTCTCCTCATCTCGCTCTCCTCTCGTCTCTCTTCTCTCTCTCTCTCTTTCTCTCTCTCTCTCTCTCTCTCCTCTCTCTCGTTCTCAGTGCTGTGTACCTCTCTCTCGTAAAAACACAGATCAGATAGCTAGATACAGACCACAGCAGATAGATGGATAGACAGATTTAGATAGAAAGAGAAAGTGCAAGAAAAGGAAAGAGAGAGAGAGAGAGAGAGAGAGAGAGAGAGAGAGAGAGAGAGAGAAGAGAGAGAGAAGAGAAGAGAGAGAGAGAGAGAGAGAGAGAGAAGAGAGAGAGAGAGAGAGAGAGAAACCGAGAGACGTGGCAGACAGACAGACAAACAAACAAACAACCAAAACAAAACAAACAAAAACAAACGACTCAAAGGAAGGTTGAAAGGAACCCAAGGATGCGGGACTGCAACAGAAGGACTCGGAAGGACAAATCAGGGACGGTATGGGATCCCTTTCGTCGCCTCTCCTGGATAGGCAGCGGGAGAGGCCTCGCGATGCCGGAAATGGCGCTGGTGCTTAGCCACGCGCACGAACGGGTAGTGATGGGTGGGTGGTGGGTGGAGGAGGGGGGAGTGGGGTGGGTGGTGGGGTGGGGGGTGGAGGGGTGGGTGGATGGGTGGTGGAAGGAGGGGTGGAATGGGTGAGTGGGTGGAGGGAGGGGTGGAGGGTGTGGGGGAGGATGGGGTGGAGGGATGGGTGGGTGGGTGGAGGGGTGGAGGGTGTGGGTGAGAGTGGGGGTGAGGGTGGAGTGGGGATGGGTAGGAGGGTGGGGGTGAGTGAGGGGTGGAGGAGGGAGTGGTGGGTGGTGTGAGGGTGGTGGGGAGGGATGGATGGAGGGGTGGATGGGTGACGTGGGTTGGAGGGAGGGAGTGGGTGGAGGAGGTGGATGGGATGGATGGGTGGGTGGGTGGGTGGAGGGTGAGGGGTGGAGGGAGGGATGGAGAGGTGGAGGGAGGGTTGGGTGGGTGGGGGGTGGGTGGAGGGAGGGATGGTGGAGGGGTGGAGGGTGATGGGTGGAGGGAGGGGTGGAGGGATGGAGAGGTGGAGGAGATGGGTGGGGTGGGTGGAGGTGAGTGAGAGATAGAGGGGTGGATGGGGTTGAGTGGGTGGAGAGATGGAGGGGTGGGTGGGTGGTGGGTGGGGTGTGGATGGATGGATGAGGATGGGATGCGAGGATGATGGATGGCATGGATGGATGGATGATGGATGGATGGATGATGGATGCATGAATGAATGAATGAAGAATGAAATGGATGAATGATGAAAAACGAAACGGACAACATGAAACAAACGCACACACGCACAAAACGCAACAAAAACACAGAAACCGCAGGTTATCCTTTACACCGACTGCAATGTGAACTTGAAAAAGAAAATTGACGAAAATAATATATTTATGGACAGAATGAGACGCAAGTGTTTGTAGTAGTAGAAGCAGGATGTACTTTTAAGTATTCGTATTAGTAGTATTAATAGTAGTAGTAGCAGTAGTAGTATAAATCGTAATGATGATAAGTGTAGCAGCAGTCGTAGTAGTTGAAAGTAGTATTAGTTATGAGTTAGTAATAATAGTACAACAGTAGAAGTAAGAGTAAGAATAGTAGCAGTAATAGCAGCATTAATATTAGTACAAATAGTACAAATAAACATAGTAAATCATAACAATCATAGAAACATTGATAAGAAAAAATATAATAAAATAAAAAAAAAAGAAAAACACTAAAATAAATAAGTAAAAAAAGAAAGAAAAAAAAAATATCAATAACGAAGAAATTAATCAATCAAAATAAAAACAATACTCTAAAATACTGATTCAACAGAAGCTACAACAGCACAGCCTTGGTCAGGTGGTCCTTGGCAGCTGGTCGAGTGTGACTGCAGAAATAAACAAAGCAAAGGGTGTTGCTGATTACCATTTCACCCAAATTGCTGTTGATTTCGCCTGGTCGTTGCCTTGTGATTGGGTTTGGTTGTTCGTTGTTTGTTGTGGATTATCGTTTGGTGTTTGGTATCAGAAACGTGATGATGATGATGATAGGTGATGCATCGGTATGATGTAAAGGTTGATGATGTGATGATAAATTGGTAATTAATATATAATAATGAGATAATAATGATAAATATTGATTAATGAATGTGATGATCATATTGATTGTGGTGATGAGGAGTGTGATGATAATATTGATTGTGGTGATGATGAGTGTGATGATAATATTGATTGTGGTGATGTTTCCATACTAAATCTTACGTCGGGCAAACTTATTGATGTTTACAAAGGGTTAATGAACTTAATGTGACTTTTTACTGATCTTGACATTTAGACGCTGCCACGGATCTGCATGCTCACTCACGCTAATACTCACTCACCCCGCACTCACGCAATTAATCATATCTTTCCTCACTGAATCTCACTCGCTGTCTAGATAAGATTTGATTTTTCTCTCATTCCTTTATTCATCTTTAACTCATTTATATTGACGGGGGAGATGAAGAGAGAACAAATAAATAGTTATCAAAATAGATAAGGTTATAGATTTTTTTTCCAGTTCTGTAATCTGATTCTAGATAATCCAATGTCTATAAATGAAATCTATAAAATGTCTATTAAAAAGAATCCCAAAATCTCGAAAAAAATACCTTAACGCCTTTATCAGAATTACAGCGAGTGTGAAGAAGCAAACTCACGACCGAGCTGGCCAAAATACTCACAATATTTAGGAAGAACTACATTCACCCGGAAGCCTGTCGGTTCAGAGAAAAAGCTTGAGTAAACTTTGCTGTGGAGGACAATGATACGTACACGTAAACGCACACACATTAACTGACGAACGCTCACGGACACACACGCAGGCACACACACGCTTGCACACACAACACACACACACACACACGCCCACAC